CAGCGCGGCCCCCGGGCACCGTCCCTGCCCGGCCGGGGAGCTGCGGGCTCGCTGCTGCCAGGGCACAGCGCTGCTCGAAGCCTGGCTGTGAGAGGCAGGTTCACGCAGCAGGCGCTCGGGATCTGCTTCCAGCAGGAGAACGCAGTTTCCGAAAGAAGGTTGTGGGGGAAGAGAGCTTGTTGTATCCTTTTCCCCTCTGTCATAAGCACTTGAAATAGAGTGAAACGGTGCAGAGTTCTGGATCAGTTTGAACGGGCTTAATAGGATTAAAACTAGATGCGTCCTAACATTAGAGGATTAAGACAGGTACTTCCCACAGCTTGTCCTAATCACTTTTTTGCCCTGAACTTTCATTTAAAAAAGAAAAAAAGAAGTAAATTATACTTATTATACTTGTTGCTGTTGCCTCTGAGACCTAACAAGACAGCAATGTGTGTCTCTTTAATTTCAGCTCCTGATGAGGATATACTTGTTAAAGGAAAGCAGTCCATCAAGAGTCAAGTTTTAGGAAATCAGAACTCAGAAAGTGAGATTCTCTTAGAAGGCGACGATGACATCATGTCATTCATGGAGGAAAGAGAAGTGGAGAACTTAACGGGTAACTTCAGCTGTTTAATTTTCTACTCAGCTTCTTTACTGTTTTAGTTCTGATCACCCCTGCTCTGCAGTGAATCATGTTTTGGGATACACACCCATAAATTGTTCCTTTCCATAATTCGGTCATTAAGATGATTGTCTGTGCACCTCAGATGCTGAGAGTTTACTTGAGGAGAGCTGTGCATTTTCTTTCTCTGGCTTTTAGAACCTCCTTGCTTATGCAGTAGATGTCTGTATTCTAGGGAACCTTCCGTAGAGAAAGTAGGTCTACCTTGAAAAGGGCTTCCTTTCTTTGTTTTTGACCTCATTCCACTCCTCAAATCATTAGACCCAGTGGACAATTAGGCAAGTCATCTGTAATTAAAGGCTTTGGAGAGCTGTAATTTTTTCCCGAGTTTACAAAATTGTACTTACTGGTTATTTGCTTGGGTTTCACGGATCTGTACCCTCACTGGATTTAACTCCTTTAAACCCTCTGTCATTCCCTCATGCAAGGCCCTTCTCTATAGACCATAGTCTTCGTTCTGAAGAATAAACAGTACTTGCCATCTTCAAACTTCATTAATTTTACTCAGTCGCATGCAGCCTTTGCTGATGTTGCCACCTGACTGGAGCAGGCCCATTGCTATGCAGTTCAAAATGTAAAAACAGAGTAAACCACCAACCCCCTCACTTAAGAGACTGAGAGTTACAGAGTCTCCATTGTTATTTGAAGAATGTGCCCTTTACAGGAGAAAATGCAAATTTCTGTGTTCTGCTTGCTCAACTGGTATCCCATATACAAGTATTTTAGAAACAAATTTCATTTGTTTTTTTTAATTCTGGTTCCCTGAGAAGCTAGTAATATAATCTTACATTGACACATATCATACATACGATAATTCACTGAAATTACTGGAAGTTATTATTTATTGGCAGCTTGCTTATCCCTGAGCTGCATTCCACTCTATTTGTTTTTAAAGTGAAGTTAAAAATGCAGCATAATGAAAAAAGAAAATTTTAGGAAGAGTGAAGTAAAATAAACAGGAGAATAATGCAATGGCATTTTCTATGTGTGAATCTTTTTTCCCCTTCCTACAACAAGCTGCCTTCTCAACAGCCTTCTCTGTGTTCCCTTCTCTTTTTATTATTCATTCATTGGTTCAAGTAATACATTCATACTGTAATAGAGGTGAAAGGGGAGTTTAATTATATAATCTTGACAATGGCAATGGGATTAAGAAGTAATCCTCACTAATAAAGTGGTGTGGGTTAGAAATGAAGTGGAAATTGTCAGGGGTCTTCCACAGGACCTGGGCTGCCCCAGCTTCTGCAGCTGTCTGCTTGCCCTGTAATTGAATGTCTGCGAGTGATTGAAAAAATGTTATTTCTCCTCTGGATTACATGCTAATGTACAGAGGGCAAAGGGAGACAGCAAAAGAACACATAGCTGCTTATTTCATCCATTTGTGGGGTTGAGCTTTGGGAAATCATGGCAGTTCCACAGCTATCTCATGCCCATCTGCAAACACAATGTATTTGTACATTGGGAATAGAGGGCAAAGCTGCTCTGATCTCAGCAGAGCATCTCTTCCTTTGTCCTAGTGGCACACATTGAGATTGATGCGAGATTAAGGACCATCACCCTCCTAACAATCGATGGAAATGACAATTCATCTGAATTTTTTGTCAGTTATTCTCACGTTGATTACCTGAATGTGTGTACCTCATTTATAGATGCTTTATTAAAACAAAATTGTCTTTGTCACTTTCATATCTTTCACTGTTTTACAAAAGTCAGATAATACAGCAGCCAAGTAACTTCATTTCCTTACCTCTTAATCAGCTGGATGACAAACCTAACCTGTTTTCTTTTTGTATGCCTTAGTTTATATAATAGGTTCTGCATTGTCAGATCTATGCTGAACCTATTGTTTTCAGTAGTAGTCTGATTTGTCCCTGTGATAAGCCCTGTGGAGATGTGATTATTCCAATAAAAATTCATTCAGTTGGAAACCAACCCTCCAGCTGTTTACTCCCACAGTCCCTGAGCTACACTAACACTGCATGGAATCCGTGAACAATATTTAAAGTGGAATCAAAAGCATCTTTAAAACATTTCACTTTAGGCTCTTTAATATTGTGTAACCTTAACACTAGATTTCTCACATTCATGAGGGAACACTTTACAGTTGGACAACTTGACTCTTGACTGCTGTGTTCATCTTTGTGGAAAGCTATTGAAACTCTCTGGTACCTAAAGAACACATCTCACATAAGACTTGCAGTGTTCATGTGTGCACTCTATTGCATATAGCAAAGGTATGCAGCTCCTGAAGTTTCTGGAAATAAAATGTGTCTGAATAAAAACTATATACTGCCATGTTAAGGCCAGCTCTGGCACGTACAACGTATACATCAGTTTGCAATTGTAGCTGCTTCAGTGTTCAGCAGCACATAGACACTGCAAATCTATTACATATGTTCTTTTCTGGGATAGAAAAGAGTTTTGCTCTTTAAGGAAGAGCTACGCTCTTTGCTTTATTTATTTTAATGTTCTAGGCTTAAAATGCAAATAATTTGCACTCATGCTTCTTTCTGTTTTGAATATTATTGGTGTTTTCACTCTTTGGCAGGTCCAGTTGCCCTAAGCACACC